CCGCCACTGTCGGTGTATGTAGCTGGTGCTGTAATCACTGTACGTGAATGTTCTCTCTCGCCAACATCTTTCTTTCTTTCTTTCCTTGTTTTGTGTGTGTGCATGTTGTTTTTGAGAAAAGGTCTCCTTTTGTCACCCAGGCTGGAGTGAAGTGGAGAGATCATAGCCAACTGCAGCCCTAAACTCTTGGGCTCAAGTGATCCTCCTGCCTCAGCCTGTGAGTAGCTGGGACTACCAGAATAAGCTACCATGCCTGGCTAATTTGAGAAAAACAATCTCCTCACTGCCTCCCAAAGTGCTGAGATTACAGGAGTGAGTCACTGTACCCAGCCTAATATCGTAAAATGACAAAATTATAAAATGGAGAATGAGACTAGACATAGTGGCTGACACCTGTAATCCTTCACTCTGTAAGGCAGAGGCGGGTGGATGGCTTGAGCTCACGAGTTCCAGACCAGCCTGAGTAAGAACAAAATCCCATCTCTAAAAACAGCGAGGCATTGTGGCTGGCACCTGTAGTCTCAGCTACTATGGCATCTGAGGCAAGAGGATAGTTTGAGCCCAAGAGTTTGAGGTTGCTGTGAGCTATGACCCTATCGAACTCTACCCAGGGCACCAAAATAACAGCCATTGTTTATAACTGCCTAGGTATATTAAGTTATTAGGAGTTATAAAGTGTTGATATTCAAATTATGTTATTCCTTTTTCATTTATTTACTGGAATACTTCTACAAACAGAAATTTCCCCTCACTTTAAGATACAGTTCCCATAAGAACACCAAGATAAATATTTGATTTTTTTTAATTACTAGCAGCTCTCTACAGAAGTTAATCTACTAGCATTCTGTAAAAATGATTAATTAGTTTGTTTTTTTGTTTCTTAGGGTAGTCAAGTGACAAGCGATGCAGTGAGAGTGGAGAAGGAACAAATGAATTTGTAACTGTCTGTGATTGATTAGTTATAAATGCCACTGCACAACTTAATATTTTTAAGTATCATTATGAATTGATTAATGTAAACATATTTGATGTGCGTCAATCCATTGCATTTTGATGCTCAATTGTCACATCTTTGGCCAGTGGGAATTATTTTATTTGGCTCCTGAGTTATGTTACAATCCTAATAGTCTTCTTTGTTTATCCTTCATTGGAGCAATTCTTGCCCTAAATTTGAAATTAGCTATTTCTCCAAAGAGTCTTGTTTCCTTTTAGTGGGGATTGGTATTTTGGTAGCACAATTTGGACACTAGAGGTATACGTTGTAATGGATCATTGTTTCTAGGTCTTTTCAGAATAAAGCTAGGGAAGTTTTTTAGGATAAAATATACCATGAGTTCACAGTTATTCTTTCAGTTTAAATTCAGAATTACAGATTTTTTTCTTATTTTCATCAGTCATAAATCTGTATCTCTTTATTCCACACTAAAAAGCCTGCTTTTCAAAGACACCAACATTATTACTCATATTTTAAATCCCATGATATACAATACACCTAACATAGTTCAGAATAATAATACCAACTCTACAATCAATAATATGGCTATTTTAAAATATTAGGGGGAGGGAGGCTCGGCATCTGTAGCTCAGTGGTTAGGATGCCGGCCACATATACCGGGGGCTGGCGGGTTCAAACCCAGACCAGACCTGCTAAAAAACAATGACAACTACAACAAAAAAGCAGCCAGGCATTGTACCAGGCTCCTGTAGTCCCAGCTACTTGGAAGCTGAAGCAAGGGAATAGCTTAAGCCCAAGAGTTTGAGGTTGGCACAGTGGCTGTGAGCTATACTCAGTACACAGAATTCACAGTACTCAGGGTGACATAGTGAGACTGTGTCTCAAAAAAAAAAAAAAAAAAAATGCTGGGGCGGGGGTTGGGCACAGTGGCTCATTACTGTAATCCTAGCACTCTGGGAAGCTGAGGAGGGTGGATCACTTGTGCTCAGAAGTTAGAGACCAGCCTGAGTAAGAGCAAGACCTGCCCCCATCTCTACTAAAAAAATGGAAAAATTAGCTAGGCACTGTGGTGGGTGCCTGTAATCTGTTATGGGGGAGGCTAAGGCAAGAGAACTGCTTGAGGTTAGAGACTAGCTTGACCGCAAGAGTTTGAGGTTGTTATGAGCTATAATTGCTACAGGATTTGCCCAGTCAGGGGTGGACAGGAAACCCTCCAGCCCCCATTCTCTAGGCCCAGGTGAGCTCAGAAATCAGACCCCCATCTCAAGGCACAAACAAGCTGCACTTTCCAGGCTACAGGCTCTAGGCTTCTAGCAAGGTCATGAAGAAAGCAGCCTGAAACCTTTTGGGTGGTTGCACCTAGAGTAGAGAGCACACACCCTAATCCCTTCTTTGAGACAAAAACTGCAAAGACCTAATAACCTTGCCCCAGCAGAGGAACTGCATTCTTTCATTTGTTAATACACTCATTAACTTTGAAAAGATGTTTTTCCACCTACCAAGTCCTGGCCAAAATGGGATCTATACCCCTAGACAAAGGACATATGTGGGAGACTTCCCACTTTGCCAGTTCATTCTTAGAATCCTGGAGACAAAGGACCTACTACAGAAAGGAATTGTGGTAACACGATGATGCCATGGCACTCTACTGAGGGCAACAGAATGAGTCTCTATCTCAAAAAAATAATTTTTTTGGTCACTTCTCTTTGTCATTAGCCAAATTATTGTGTTCTAAAGTCACTTGAATAGTTTGGTTGGAGGCATTTTACATTTTTTTTTTTTTTTTGAGACAGAGCCTTAAGCTATCCCCCTGGTAGAGTGCCATAGCATCACGCTCACAGCAACCTCCAACTCCTGGGCTCAAGCGGGTCTCCTGCCTCTCCCTCCCAAGTAGCTGGGACCACAGGCGCCCGCCACAAAGCCTGGCCATTTTTTGGTTGCAGCCGTCATTGTTGTTTGGCGGGCCCGGGCTGGGGATTCGAACCCGCCACCTTAGGTGTATGTGGCTGGCGCCTTAGCCGCTTGAGCCACAGGCGCCGAGCCGGCATTTTACATTTTTGTAATAAAACTCCTTATCAGAGAAATATTGAAGTTGTCAGAAATGTGTGTGTGTGTATAGAGTGTTCACACACACACACATATATACATGTATGAAAAGAGCATTGTGTGGGTCTCTAGATTCTGAATTAAAAGTAGCGCCAATAGGTACAGATGCCTTAGTAATACTGAGAGAGGATACTGGGAAAGGTGAGGTCTAGGAGAACAGGTGTTCTCAAGGAGACCACAAGGATACACCTGCAGAGTCCTCTCCATGGTGACTCAGCTCTTAGTAATTTGTAGACTTAACTTCCTAGAACCTGGAAATTGCCACTTCTGGGAACTCCTGTAGTTCTGTAGAGACTGGAACAGCTTGTCCTGCTTGCTTCAAACTGACCAATGAAAAAGGTACCTGTGGGTTGGAATTTTTTGACTGGAGATAAAAAGGGAACCATCAAGCCAGTTGAGGAGTGTGGCCATTTTGAAGTCTTCTATGCCATTAGTTCCACCCACTAAATAAAAGCTTTTTTCCTCTTAAATATGGTGTTTTGGTGCTCTTTCTCTCCATTGGGGCTCATCTTCCTGCAACAATACTATTTGGGAATAAGTATTTGTGTTAATTTTATTTGGCAAGTACTAAAAGATGACATGTCAGATATTCTTTTGGCTGCAAAAACATGATATGGTTAAATTCCTTGGTTGCAATATATATATATATTTTTTGAGACGGAATCTCAAGCTATCCCCCTGGGAAGAGTGCCATGGCATCACGCTCACAGCAACCTCCAACTCCTGGGCTCAAGCGAGTCTCCTGCCTCAGCCTCCCAAGTAGCTGGGACCACAGGCGCCCGCCACAACGCCCGGCCATTTTTTGGTTGCAGCCATCATTGTTGTTTGGCGGGCCCGGGCTGGGGATTCGAACCCGCCACGTATGTGGCTGGTGCCTTAGCCGCTTGAGCCACAGGTGCTGAGCCAGGTTGCAATATCTTAAGGTCACAAGATTGTATTACTCCACAAAAGTATCTTTCTGAATCTCTTTTTCTCTCCATATATCTCTCCAACTGCTCCTCCCTTATGAATTAGTAGCCTTCAAAAACTTCCATTTCCATTCTTTCTTCACCTCTTTGCCTTCGTTAGCCTTTCCCCCAGCAACTCAGGTGTTCATATTTTCTGTGTATTGATGACAGAGAAGGAGGAGGAATTGCAGTACAAACTAAGGTAATGAAAATGGAGGAGGTGGGGAAATAGACAGCTGCAAAGATCTGAGCTGGAAAGACCGAACGAATTGTCATCCTAAACAACTCAGAGCTCAGATTTCTTCTCTGGACAGCTGGCTTTTTTAGTCCTTCTAAAATACTGTCTGCACAGATGAGCAAGAGGCTGTGAATTACCTCCATTATGGATTTCACTTAATGTCAGCTACTTCCAATATACTATTTGTAGAGACTAAACATAATATTCAATGTAGCAAAGATGAGCGTTGGAAACGTAAGGTATCCAATCACTCACTATAATTTTGAAAGGCCAAGAGCTCAATAAGAACGCTGGAGGGCTGCCTGGAGTAGGCGGTGACTACAGAGTCACACTAGCTGGAACTAGATACCTGACTTGTCTGTCATATTTTTGTCTCCCTTCCCCTACTTGGCGCCCATTGCTCCATATTCTTTCTAATCCTCCTACCCTTCCACTCCCTCCACTTCCATACCCTACCCCCACCAACGTTCCTGGAATTTTGGACTTAGCTATTTTTAAAACCGTCAACTCAGTAGCCACCTCCCTCCCCCACTCAGCTGTCCAGTACTCTGGCCAGCCATATGCTCCCCCTTCTCCCCATACCAAAACTTCTCTGGCTCTGTGACCTCAGTGAGATTGCAGCCGGTCTGAGGACTTGAGGGGGACATGGAGAAAGAGATAAGGGACTCCTTGCTTGGAACTGACTGGCAGAATAGGCAACCATGGCTGGAGAATTGACTGTCAGAGTAATGTCTGACCTCTGGAAACAGTAAGTCAAAATGAAATTGCAATTCCTTTAACAAGCTTTTGGATTGCAGTTAGACTTTTATAAAATCACAGATACCTACTTGGAGGTCTCTGGTCCAAAAGTTGGGATCTCTCCCTATCGAGGTCCCCCAATCTCCATTTCTCCTTTTGTCTTATTTCTTTGTGGCCTCCGGCCTCTAGACATTTGAAGTTAATCTTTTGTCTCTCCTCCAGTAGTCTGAGCTCCCTCTTTACCCCAGCTCCCTTTTTAATCCGATTACTTCAAGATTCCTGATGAAATTTTAAGAGTTTTCTACACTCTTTATTCTGTATTTTTCTCACCAGTGCCAAATTTTGGCCTCAGACAATTAGTCACTGACACCTTTCTAGTTTGCCCCTACTTAGCAATGCCCTTCACATTGGAATTCCAAGGGTGAGGACTGTCCCTTGTTACAAATTATATTTCAAAAAACCTCTGGTTCCTCCATTCTATTTTTCCTCCTCCAGGATTCTTCTCCCAATCATATCCTTATCCCAAGAGAGAGGAGTTCTGCTGGAGGGAGTTAGTCCCTCCCAACCCCTGCCCTCAGCAAAAGATTGAAAATTTCTAAATTTGCAAAGGGGAGATTAATGGAAAGAATGGTTCTTCATTGAGATTTGGAAACATACAAGAAGTAAAACAAACTAAAGGAGGATTGATTTGCAAGCTTGGTTTGCTCCCTGTTATCCAATGAGACAGAGGGATTATTAACTGAAGGTCTCTAGAGCTGTTAAAAGATATTGGTTCTCTTTTGATTTGAATACTGATATTCTAGATGGGAAAGGACTTCCTTCTTTACTCTTTGTGTTCTTCTGACACAAAGAAGGAGAAGAAATGAATACTCCTGGAGGGTGTCCCTTACGGACTGGGAGGGACAAATAAGCAGTATGTTACTGATATGTTTCCAGATCCTAATTCTATTGGCAGTCCCACTAATGACTGGTATTTGATCTATCCCCATGCTTCCTCCCTTTTTGGCATATCTGCTGTTTGGTAGCTCAGGATGGGGCAATACAGTGGACTCTGCCCCCACCCCCACCCCCATCTCCGAGTTCACTCAATCTTCTCTCCACCCCCATCTAGGGTTATTGCACAAGGGCCCTGAAAGTGTCCACAGGAGAAGGGCACAGAAGCTTAATAGGCACACTTACAGTTTGGGGAGTCCCCTTCTCCCCAAACTCTAGTCTGCTCATTTTTTTCTTAATCTCCCCAGATTCTCTTCACATCATCCTAACCAGTCTTCAACTCTTCTCTCTCCCTATGCCTGGCCAAATTTCTTTCTTCAGTCACTTACAGGTCAAGCGGTCAAAATTCACTAGGTAGGAGGGTCATCAGCTGGGAAGAGCCCGCGCCTGGGGGGACGTGGCTGGGTAGGTATGGGGGATCCAGGTCAGCCCTCTAGTCCACGGCCCCCCTTTGGCAGTCCCCCAACTCTAAGCACTCTCATTCTCCTGCTGCTCCTCTGTGGACATGGTAAGGAAGGGCCGGGGAAGGGTTTGGGGAAATCCAGAGGGCAGGCTGCTATTTAGGGCTGGGAATGTGAGCATGTGTGAGGAGAGACAGGTGCTGATGAGTCCCTGTCACTCACCTTACTCTCAAATAGATGTATATTATTTTCATTCAACCTGGGGAATCCCTTGATTGATAGGGAGCACAACTGAAGCAGGGTTACTCATTTTTAGTTAAGACTCAGTTAACAGAGCACTAGGGAGCTGGGGGTTGGGGACCGGGGAAGGCCCTTAGTTCAGTTTTAGGAACTTCTGAAATCCCTTGACGAGATTTGGAAGAGTTAGGAGCATAGTCCTGTACAGCAGAGGTCTGGGAACTATCTCACAATCATCTCCCTTCCGTCCTCAGCTCATTCTCAATGCAAGATCCTCCGCTGCAATGCAGAGTATGTTTCGTCCACTCTGAGCCTTAGAGGTGGGGGTTCATCGGGAGCTCTTCGAGAAGAGGAAGGAGAAGAAGGAAGAGGCGGTGGCGGCCGAGGTGGAGGGGTGGGCTCCGGTGGCCTCTGTCGAGCCCTCCGCTCCTACGCGCTCTGCACTCGGCGCACCGCCCGCACCTGCCGCGGGGACCTGGCCTTCCACTCGGCGGTGCACGGCATCGAAGACCTGATGATCCAGCATAACTGTTCACGCCAGGGCCCCACGGCGCCTCCCCCGCCCCGGGGCCCCGCTCTCTCAGGTGCCGGCCCGGGCCTCCCAGCTCCCGACCCCTGTGACTACGAAAGCCGGTTTTCCCGGCTACATGGTCGTCCCTCGGGCTTCTTGCATTGCGCCTCCTTTGGCGACCCTCATGTGCGCAGCTTCCACCACCACTTTCACACGTGCCGTGTTCAAGGAGCTTGGCCCCTGTTGGATAACGACTTCCTCTTTGTCCAGGCCACCAGCTCGCCCGTGGCATCGGGGGCCAACGCTACCACCACCCGAAAGGTCAGGGACTCAATTTTCCTCCTGACCCATTCGTGATCTTCTCTCGTAGTTACCCCTCAGTACCCTTCCTCCTCCTCCCGGCTATTCCACAGACGTGCTCCTCAATCCCTTTTTTCCTCGACCACTCCCCTTTCTTGAATCGCCTCCTCCTACCAAACACGTGCTGCTCTAAATCACTTCCCTTAATGGGAATTTCACTCAAACACAGGGAAACACTGAAGAGAAAGTGAGAGCAGACTTGAGGCCTTTCAGAAGGGAAACTTCTTGGGAGTTGCTAAGATTGAGTAGAGAGAGGGGTTAAGTAGGGAGGAGTCGATATTGAAACCTAAGGAGAAGCAGGGATGAAGGATTGAGGGCCATGAGAAGCCTTGCATCTCTGCTTGGATCACATCCCTGACTATACTTAGGTCTGATTGCCGGGAGGATGCACTGAGCCCCAAATGAACTATTCTCCCTCTTGCCCACACAGCTCACCATCATATTTAAGAATATGCAGGAATGCATTGATCAGAAGGTATACCAGGCTGAAGTGGACAATCTTCCTGCAGCCTTTGAAGATGGTTCTATCAATGGAGGTGACCGACCTGGGGGCTCCAGTTTGTCCATTCAAACTGCTAACCCTGGGAGTCACGTGGAGATCCGAGCTGCCTATATTGGCACAACTATAATCATTCGGCAGGCAGCTGGGCAGCTCTCCTTCTCTATTAAGGTAGCAGAGGATGTGGCCAGGGCCTTCTCCGCTGAACAGGACCTGCAGCTCTGTGTTGGGGGATGCCCTCCAAGTCAACAACTCTCTCAATCAGAGCGCAATCGTCAGGGAGCTGTAACCATTGATACAGCCAGAAAGCTGTGCAAGGAAGGGCTTCCCGTGGAAGATGCTTACTTCCATTCCTGTGTCTTTGACGTTTTAATTTCTGGTGACCCCAACTTTACTGTGGCAGCTCAAGCAGCTCTGGAGGATGCCCGAGCCTTCCTGCCAGACTTAGAGAAGCTGCATCTCTTTCCCTCCGATGCTGGGGTTCTTCTCTCCTCAGCAACCGTCCTAGCGCCACTCCTTTCTGGGCTCTTTGTTCTGTGGCTTTGTATTCAGTAAGGAGGTCAGCAATCCCAGTACTGATTTGGAAATGATTTGGACATTGAGAATAGTATAGAAGAACATAAAGAATCACTAAAGAAAATAGTAAAGACCAGGAGACATATGAAACAATGACGTTTATACATAGTCATATGAGGCTGAAGTTACAGAATAAAGATTCTAGATAAGGTTTTTGCATTCTAGACTTTCATAGGTGCTCTCCACCAATTTTTCCAATCCTGCTTATTGTAAGCAAATTGCTCTAATCTACTGTCTACTCCAGAGATCACCTCTATAAGCTTAGAGGCGGGGGGGGGGGGTCCTGATGATCAATAAATTAAGGGTTGAGTTTTTTTAAGAGGCAAGAACTGAAAAAAGAATACATGATCATTACCCATAAGAAATTCAAAAGAGAGGGTGGTGCCTGTGGCTCAGTGAGTAGGGTGTCAGCCCCATATACCTAGGGTGGTGAGTTCAAACCCAGCCCCAGCCAAAATGCAAGAACAAAAAAAGTAAAAAAAATAAAGTTTAAAAAAGAAGAAATTCAAAAGAGGAGAAAATAGGGGGAAAGTTTATGATGAAAATATGTCAGTCAGGTATATTCTGTTTTCTAAGTTCAGAAATTAAGTGGGCATTATCTGGATATATGGGAAGGGAATCTCTGCTTTTGGAGAACAGCACAGATAGGACAGAAGCCATCATCCCCACCCTTAACTAATCCACCATTAAAGTTTGAATTCTTCACGCCATTCTGTTGCCTATGTTGAATCTCTTTCTGGAGGCTTCAAATGGAGTAAAGACAATACGTTTATGACACTGAAAGAGGGCTCAGAAACCTGATATTGTTTCTGTCCTCAGGAAGATAACAGGCTACTGGAGAGACAAAAGTGATTCATGTGAAGAAACATACTGTGTGATGATTCACTAAACTTTATAGTATTGTGAATTTAGGCAGGAAGACGCTTGATGAGAACTAAAGTGCTAAGAGTAATAAGAGGTATTAAAAAAGATGGGAATTTGAAGTGAGCTTTGCAAACTGAGTAGGATCTGAATTGTTATGGCCCTTTTATGGAAACCATCTGGAATTATGCATAGATTCATGATTCAGTAAAGAAGCCAGCAAGACCCAAAGAGTCAACAGTAGAACAGAAGATTAGAGGGGCAAAGACCAGATTATGAAGCACCTTAAAAATAGACTCACGGGAGCTGTGTCTGTAGCTCAGTGGGTAGGGCACCAGCTACATACCTGAGGCTGGAGGTTGGAACTGGCCCAGGACAGCTAAAAAACAATGACAACTGCAACAACAACAACAAAAAATAGCTGGGTGTTGTGGTGGACGTCTGTAGTCCTGGCTACTTGGGAGGCTGAGACAAGAGAATAGCTTAAGCCCAAGAGTTTGACATTGCTGTGAGCTGTGACACCATGGCACTCTATCAAGGGCAACAGCTTGAGACTTTGTCTCCAAAAAAAATAAATAAATAAACTCAAGGAGTTTAAATTTGATGAATACCTAACAGTTACCGGAGCTTAAAATCTGGCAGGCAATGTGCTAAACACTTTAAAAATATTAATTCACATAACTCTCTAAGAAAGGTAGTATATCTCTATTTTTATATAAGGAAACTGAAGTACAGAAAGATTAAGCAACTTGCCCACAGTTACATAACTAATAAGTGGCAGTTTGGAGCTGTAGACTTAACTCTTTTTTTTTTTTTTTTTGAGACAGAGCCTCAAGCTGTCCCCCTGGGCAGAGTGCCGTGGCATTACAGCTCACAGCAACCTCCAACTCCTGGGCTCAAGCGAGTCTCCTGCCTCAGCCTCCCAAGTAGCTGGGACCACAGGCGCCCGCCACATGCCCGGCTATTTTTTGGTTGCAGCCGTCATTGTTGTTTGGCGGGTCCGGGCTGGGGATTCGAACCCGCCACCTTAGGTGTACGTGGCTGGCGCCTTAGCCGGCTGAGCTATAGGCGCCGAGCCTAGACTTAACTCTTAACTGTCTCTTCTCATCTAAAGCCAAGAGAGAGGTGGGAAAGGGGGGAAAGCCTAAAGTTGAAGGAATCTAGTTTGTAGAAGAAAGAGAACAGAAGCTATTCTGATCAAAGGTGTGTAGGAGACCGAGCACCAGGCTTATAGAAGCGGCCACTGGTTCTGAGGGAAGGCTCTGGGAGCAAGACAATTTCAGTAAGGAGATGTTCTGCAGCCCAGAGACAAGCCCTCATGTAGCTGCAGGTGTTAATCTGTCCCTCCTTAGCAAGCAGGTGTTATACTTTGAACACTGGTGGTACAGCAGAGTGGGAGTCAAGCCCGTGCATTAAACACGTTATTCTAGCACGTGGGCCCCCACACCTGTTGTATAATGTTTGAATAAAAGGCCACAGCAGCGAGGCCTCGGGGCTTCCCTGGAGATAGGGGAAGTCCACCTCTTGCAAGCATGTACCTTCAATCCCTGTCCAGGCTGTTTTTATTCGCATGGCAATGGGGTGCCACAGCGGACATTGACAGAGGTGTCCTAAAGTAACAATACTGTTCTGAACAAAATTACAAAGCAGCTAAATTTTATATCTGCTATCTTTTTTTTCTTTCTGATCTCAGCCTCCCCTCTTCAGGTACTCCATCACCTAGGAGCTACCTTTCCTGATCTAACCAGGCATTCAATGTTATCTTACCCCTTCCTTTCAGTCCCATCCACCTAATAATACTCTCCGGAACACATATGTGGTTGGGGCCTATGCATCCACTAGTTCTGTATCTGCAGATTCCACCAAACACAGATTAAAAATATTTGGAAAAAAATTTAAAATAACATCTCAACAGTGAAAAATTATATAAATTTTACAATATACTTTAACAACTGTTTACATAGTATTTACATTGTATTAAGTATTAGAGGTAATCTAGAGATGATTTAAAGTATTCCGGAGGGCCAGGCACAGTGATGCATGTTTGTAATCCTAGTATGCTGAGAGGCTTGGGCTGGTGGATCACTTGAGCTCAGGAGTTTAAGACCAGTGTGAGCAAGAGGGAGAACCCCTGCCTCTACTAAAACTAGAAAAACTAAGACTGGGAACAGTGGCTCACGCCTGTAATCCTAACACTCTGGGAGGCCAAGGTGAGTGGATTGCTTGAGCTCACCAGTTCAAGACCACCCTGAGCCAAGAGCAAGACACACACACAACCCCCACCCCTGTCTCTAGCTGGGAGTTGTGGCAGGTGCCTGTAGTCCCAGCCGACTGGGGGGCAAGGCAAGAGGGTCGCTTAAGCCTAAGAGTTTGAGGTTGCTGTGAGCTGTGACACCTTGGCACTTTACCCACGGGGACAGAGTGAGACTCTCACTTAAAAAAAAAAAAGTATACAGGAAGATGTGAAGATGTTACAAGTAAATACTATACCATTTTATATAAGGGACTCCAGCATCCTCTCAATTTTGTATTAGAGGGCTGGGATTGGCTCTAGAACCAATTCCCTTTAGATACTAACAAATAACTATATATGCTGGCCAGGGCTTACTAGACAGGATGTCCTATCTGTCTCAAATTTCTTTTGTGATCCTTCATTACCTATTTCCTCATCTCCACCTTCTCTAAGGACCACAACCACTCTGCCATTCTCTCAAAGCAATTTATTTATATTTTCTGAAATAACCTCTGGCTAATCTAGAAAACAGTATGTTTTAATGGAAGAAATGGGGAAGCAAGAGACATATCCAGCGCTGTCCCTTCACTCACAGATAACATAGACATTCTAACTCAAAACATCCTTTTTTTTTTTTTGGAGACAGAGCCTCAAGCTGTCCCCCTGGGTAGAGTGCCATGGCATTACAGCTCACAGCAACCTCCAACTCTTGGGTTCAAGCAAGTCTCCTGCTTCTGCCTCCCAAGTAGCTGGGACCACAGGCGCCCGCCACAACGCCTGGCCATTTTTTTTTTTGGTTGCAGCCGTCATTGTTGTTTGGCGGGTCCGGGCTGGGGATTCGAACCCGCCACCTTAGGTGTACGTGGCTGGCGCCTTAGCCGGTTGAGCTATAGGCGCCGAGCCAAAACATCCTTTTTTTTAAAAAATTATTTTTGCAGTTTTTGGCCAGGACTGGGTTTGAACCCGCCACCTCTGGTATATAGGGCCAGTGCCCTCCTCCTTTGAGCCACAGGCGCTGCCCTTTTAAAATTATTTACTTATTCATTTATTTGCAGTTTTTGGCCAGGGTGGGTATGAACCCGCCACCTCTGGCATATGGAACCGGCACCCTACCCTTTTGAGCAACAGGCACTGCCTATTTTTTTATTTTTATATATACATGTGATTATTAGGTTTCCACTTTTTGCCTTCACATAATTAAAAAGGCTTAAAATTTTACCAACAATAACAATGTTTAAGGTAAGGATTAGAAACAAAAACCTCGTAAAGAATGAATGAAGATAAATACATTCAAAAAAGAAATCAGACAATTGCTGCAATGAAGTATTAATCAATAATAATAATAGTAATGCAAAGAGTAACATTCACATTGTCAAATAAGAGTATGACTATTATAGAATGCTTTGACTCTGAGGTTCAGTATAGAGTCATCAACTAACTTCTTATTATTTTTTTCCAAAATCTTAAAAAATAAACAACTAATATTTATAAATAAAAATAAAAGATAATTTCAAAAAACAGATCATGCCAAATCTTATAGACAATATAAAAAGAAGAAATACTTCAAAATCATTCTGCTTAATCTGGATACACCTGATATTAAAATTAGAAAAAATATATTATTATAAAGTGGAAATTGCAAGCATAATTCACTTTTAAATGAAGATGCAGTATCCTGTATCCTAAACAACATATTAACAAGTTGAAGTAAAAATTAATATTTAAGTGATGTACTTTAGTCAAAATCGAATCCAATTTATGTGAGAATTAATCACTTCTTTTTATTTTTCTTGTCATTACTCGCACCCCTCCCTTCTTCTCTGTCTGCTCAACCCCTTCCCCCATCCCCCACCATGTCATTAATTGTCATTAATTGTCCTCATATGAAAGTGGAATACATAGGATTCATACTTCTCCATTCCTGTGATACTTCACTAAGTATAATGTGTTCCACCTCCATCCAGGTTAGTACAAATGCTGCAAAATCTCCATTTTTTTAAATAGCTGAATAATATTCCATGGTATACATATACCACAGCTTGCCAATCCATTCCTGGGTTGAAGGGCATTTAGGCTGTTTCCACATTTTAGTGATTGTAAATTGGGCTGCATTAAACAGCCTAGTATAAGTATCTTTATAATACAAGGTTTTTTCCCTTCTGGATAGATGCCCAGTAATGGGATTGCAGGATCAAATGGGAGGTCTAGGTTGAGTTCTTTGAGGTTTCTCCATACTTCCTTCCAAAAAGGTTGTATTAGTTTGCAGTCCCACCAGCAGTGTAAAAATGTTCCTTTTCTCCACATCCGTGCCAGCATTAGCAGTTTTGAGATTTTGTGATATAGGCCATTCTTGCTGGGGTTAGATGATATCTCAGGATGGTTTAAATTTGCATTTCTCTAATATTTAGGGATGATGAGCATTTTTTCATGTATTTGACAGGCATTCATCTATCTTCTTTAGGGAAGGTTCTGTTCATCTCTCTTCCCCATTGATGTATGGGACTGTTGGTTTTTTTCTTGTGGATTAGTTGAAGTTCTATATAGATCTTAGTTATTAATTTTTTGTCTGATCCAAAATATGCCAATATCCTTTCCCATTGGGTAGATTGTCTGTTT